GTCAGCAGTAGAGAAGAGTGCAGTGAACTTAGTGTTATCATTCACCCCAAGAGAGCCATGTGCCTCCGCTGTCAGCACGAAAGACCCAACTCAGCCTACACTGGGTGCTGAATTACTGACCATCACCCTGACTGCCCCCTCTGAACTCATCTGTTTGAAGACCAGATATTTTTTGGTGGTGCCACCAAAAACATAATGGGTCATTGAGCCCCTGCGCTGGTATGGATGCCTTCATGGAAGTTTCCACTGGAATCCAGAGGAATTTTTCAGACACCACAGCATAACTACAGTTTAATCAATTACTATGCATCAGTATGTGTGTGTGCTCTTACCTCATCCCCAAAGGGAGGTGAAACAGGCTTGCTTATTCTTACTTAGCCTCAATTCAGAGACAAAGAGGCACAAACTCACAGGCAATCAACCTTCAGGGAAGTTCTGGAGCTTTGCCCAGCAGTGGAACCAGTTGTGTTTGGTTTATTCTTAGGCCAATGTCTCAACCCCAGTGTCTCAGCTGTATATAGCCAATGATTACAGGAACCCAATGGAAGTTAACCCTATCCTGCTCAGTAGTCTACACTGTTTACTTATTAGCTGGAACTACACTGGCAACATGGTCAGAAGAAAGAATACATTTGAAGGAATTCTCAAACAAAAAATTATTGCCAAAGCAGAAACAGTTAAAAGATGATGGGTTGAACAGAACAGACAGAGCCAGTACCTGGTAGTACCAGGGTCCACTGAGAGTCCCAAACAAAAGCATGGACCAGGTCCAGGGTCCCTCTAAGAAGTCCTTTCAAGAGCAAGATGGGGCAGGACTGAAAAGTCAGCTACAGCATGGACCAATGACCCAGATAGAAGACAGGACTAGACATGAAACTGAAGACCAGCATTCAGAAAGAGACTACAGGCCCAAAACTAAGGTTAAATATTGCTCCTGGCCTATAGGTAGGGTGTGGGTGGGGGTCCCAGGTGAGGCTGATTGAGGTTGTTAAAGCTTATGGCTGCTCTCAGGGCTCTGACATTTCTGCTCCCAACATCACTCAAGCTCTAAATCATAACGAGCAAAAAAATGAGTATTCATCTCTGTCATTCTGTACACAGTGTATGATCCATCCCTAAGGAAATGCTTTACATACAAAAAAACTCAACAAAATGTCTGATTTGCAGATACAAAGGAAGTGACTTGGACAATGGGTTTATTCTTCACACCAAGTCACAGATTAGGTAAGACACTCCATAAAGAACTGTCCCCCTGAACGAGTTGAAACATGAAAAGAAAGAAAGAAGTTGGTGAAGAACACTGACCTTAATAGGCTAAGTTGGACATCCAAGGCAAGGTTGAGTAACCTGGTCTAGTGGAAGGTGTCCCTGCCTGTGGCAGGGGTTGGGACCAGATGAGCTTTAAGGTCCCTTCCAACCCAAACCACTCTATGGTTCTATGAAACTATGAATAACCAGAAACACAACCCACAAATCGGGAAGGAATGGTCAAGTCACACAGGAGCCTTGTTATATGAAGTGTAAATACTCTTCTACTACAAGCTGGTGACCGTGTTTTGGTATAATTACCCACCAAAGAGGAAAGCAATAAAATTTGATGAATGAGTGAATGTTTGTATACGCTTGCAAGCAATCTTTTTCCTGCTGAAGGAAAGTTCTGCTGAAAAGCATCGCCCCAGGCCGTCTGTTTTTGTCTGCTTGCTCTTAATTATTTGGAGGTTTCAGATTTTAGGCGTGAGAGTGGAAATAACGTTATGGAGAGGCTCAGCTTTGGGCGTCTGAGTAGCGTTCCGTCATTGCAACCAGGCAGGACACATAGCAGGAGATGTGAGCGGTAGCATTTCGTCACTAGGTGGAAGTATGGAGCCGTTGAAGACCCGCCGACCACTTGAAACTGCAGAAGGGGAGGCGAGCTGTCCCGGTTCCCTCTGACACAGATCCAGAACCGATTTCTGTTAACCCTTTGTGCTTGAGGGAAGAGCCACCATCGAGCAGATAGAGCACAGGAGAAGTTGCGGGACCTTTCCGCAGCTCTTTCTCTCACTAACGCATAATTTGTGCAAACAGCTTCATCTTCTGTAAAAAGGATGTGGAACTGTTGGAGCAGGAAAAGAGGCCATTAAGATGCTCTGAGGGCTGGAGCACCCCTGCTCTGGAGACAGGCTGAGAGAGCGGGGCTTGTTCAGCCTGGAGAAGAGAAGGCTCCTTAAGGGGAGACCTTAGAGCAGCTTCCAGTGCATAAAGGGGCTGACAAGAAATATGAAGAGGGGCTTTTGACAAGGGCCTGTAGGGACAGGACAAGGGGGAATAGCTTTAACCTGGTGATAAGGTGAGATTTAGGAGATTTAAGGTGAGATGAGGGATAAGGTGAGATTTAGTAATATTATCCGCAGCTTCCATCCTCCCTCCCAGCCCTGCTGGGGGATTCACCACCCCATGTCAAGGGTACCAGGTTTTCCTGCTTGCTCTTTCCCAAAGTCAGACATCATCAGCAGGGAATGATGTGAGAACACTGCCTGCACCTACCCCTGTAAATAGAGCATGAAGCACCCCAGAGGAAAGAAGCCTAATGGACCAGCAGTATTATGTTTCTCTTGCACATGGCTGTTGATAAACAACTTCTCCTCCATTGCAAGGTGTGCCATACTGGACACGCAGTGAGGAAAAACAGCATGAACTGCTTGAAATTAGGGACTCATTCCAGTCATGGTTCCTGGAGAAAGATCCATGCTTTCCAGCTTGGCATTGTCCGACATGAGTGTCCTCTACCTATTACATTTGTCATCTCCCCAAGCAGCCTGTAACTCTTGTGTGCCTAAGAGGATATGGGTTATCCACTCACATCACATGCCTCTTGCCAAAATCGTATCAGGACTTCTGCAAATACTGAGGATCTAAAGCAAAGCTTCCAGGCTTGGAAAGTCTCTGAAGAAGGCTTCAGCACTGCTCACCGGGCAACCTGTGCCTCAAACTTTGCAGATACATCTCTGAGTGAAATAAAAGGATCAAGGTCTTGGACATTGCATCTGCATGGATCACAAATTGCATACATGGTCCTCGCTGTGGTTCTGACCCAGACCAGCTCACATTAGCTCAAACATTTCCCAGGCTGTCAGAAATCAGCATGGCCAGCACCTGGTCCCATTGGGCTGTGTGGATGTTGTGACTGAGTTTTTGAGAATGGTTTTGAGTTTAATAGCATGGGCTGCTTGGAGCACGAAAAGGGCCCTGCAGGGCTCTCTTGCTAGTAGACATATAGCCTGGAAGACTTTGCAGGCTAGTGTGTCCTGCAAGGGCAGCCCCTGCACTCTCCGTGCTACTCTGTGCAGAGCTCTTACAGCTGCTCTTTCTTTCTATTAATATTTCACTTCTGCGTATTGACACAAATTTCCTAGCAACCAAGGTCACAAGCGAAGGTGTTAAGAAGCTGGATTGATTAATAATAAATCCTGGGGTTTGATGTCTTTTTTCTTGAGAGGCTCATTAGACACCAGCAGGCAGGGTGCTGAGCTGGAATACCCAAAGGAACCTAGGGGATCTGGAAACCCCTCTTTGATTGCATTTCCCTCTTTGAACCCCAGCTTTCCTCATCCTGGCCCTCAGCATCCAGCTGATGACACTACCCACGGGAAGGTGATTTGAGACCAAGTGCAGTAATACTAAGCAGGGATCTGGCCTCTATCAGCCATGCTCAAAGTTGTTGCCTGGGGACCCGCAGGGGTTGGGTTTCTTTAGTTGTAATCAGGACCGCATGGTTTCCATAGACCAGGTGAACACCTGTCAGTGCTGTCAAGTCCCACCATGTAGGGTGGACTGAACCTACTGCCTCCCCACTTTCTACAGCCCTGAGCATCCTTCAAATGGGACCAGCATCTCAGCCTTAAATCTACGTCCTCACCAAGCCCCTGTACTCATTCCTAGGTTTGCCGGAACAGGCTGTGCTGCCCACTGTGTCCTTTACATCATGGTCCTGGCCACAGGAGTCTGGCTGATATAGAGTGGCTTGAGATTTTAGGTGCATCTTGTATTGTAAAATGCAAGTCCCATCTTTCCTTCTCAGTTTCAGTGTACTTAAGTCACAAAACACTTATGTCTGAAAGCTCACAGGTGGGGCAAGAACAGTCAGCCAGGGATGGGCAGAGAGATTTCAAAAATGGTGTCTAGTTTTGGCATAGTCAATTCCTTATTGAACACCTTAGCACAAAAATCAGAGTGTGAGAAAGCCAATACAGCTAATTCATGAACATTTCCCAAATCAGGACAAGAGCTCCTGGTAGGGCAGGAATGGCACTCGGATCTCCTTATCATTACTCTGGTGGTTTAGGCATCAGGCCATAACTTCTCCAGATGATCTGCTCCCTTGTCTGCCATGATTTACACAAGGTGGGGTGGTGAAGGTAGAGATCTTAACATGAATACTGCATGAGCTGATCTAGGGAAAGTAATAAGAATTTTACAAAAGGGGATTGAAAGTCAGCTGGAAAGCTGAAAAACAGAAAGTATCCTTTGTATTTATCAGGCAGTACCAATATCTTCACATTTCCCCTTATTCCTGCTCCCTAATACCAAAGTTCTTTTAGTGCTTTACACTAAATAAAAGCGTTTTGTTTTCTGAAAATCTTAATATTCACATTATTAACATTTTAGATTTAAAAACATTTTATTATCACTACTTCTACTTACATATGCAGCCTGTAACTGAGCTGCCTGACTTGCCAAATTCACTTTTCTCACTGATTTGCAACACGCTCCACCCTTTCCTTTAAGAGGAAAAATGTTGGTGCTTCCAGGAGCCTTTCTGAATGTCTTTACAGGGTCACTTTTCAGCATGATGAAACTCTGTGGAAGTTGTTACCATAGCTACTCTCACTGCATTTTAAACAGGCGATGAACTTCTTTAAATACTAAATTTATTGCCAGTGCAGCTGCTTTAATGACAGGTTTGAGGCTTCTTTGGTTTCAAGGTTGAGTGTGTTTCAGCTCGTCTCCCCTGTGGCCGCATGGGTCGCGGAGGGGATTCAAGTCACCCAGCTGCCTGCCTGCAGCAGATGCTGGAGCCTGTGGATGCACAAGGCAATGGGGTAAGGAGAAACCAGCATCTTGCAGGGGATTTGTCTGCTGCAGCTTTGGTCTTCTCACCGGCATATAGAGGATGCTCCCCTGGTCCTGTGGGATCTGTGAAGCACATGGAATGGCCTGGGAAAACAGAGGTTAAGGCTGGCTTCCAGACAGATCATGGCATAGGAGTCCTCCCCAGTAAAAACCAGCCAAAAGAGAAAAACTGCAACTTCAAATAAAGCACTAAACTGCCTGTACTTTGAGAAAACATCCTGGTTATTGAGATCTTTACAGAGATTTTCCTCTGCTGGGCTGCTCACAGACACCATCTCATTCACACTTCCCATCAAGCAAGGTTCAGTTTCAGTGTGATGGACCATCCCTCCTTCAATCTCTGTATTACAGGGCTTTTTTATCATGCTAACAATAGTATCCAAGAAAGGCTACAACTCTTTTGTGGTGGTGCTCTGTAACTACACAATACCAGAGTGTCTGGCCCACCAAAGCTTTCCATTTAAAGAGGGGCACAGAAACACAATCCCACATGACTGTGGGAAAAAGATGCCTGCTGCAGACTTTGCAGACTCTGTGATAACATTGCAAAAGAACTGCACAGGTTGGACCACAGACCACAGAGGCGGCATCACTGGTTGAAATCAAGAGGTGTTGCTTTGATGGAGTAACTCTCTCAGGGAAGTTCAGGCAGGCACTAGTGCAGACTGAAGCCATGGCATTTGCTTAAATAAGCAGCTGGTAGTGGATTGGGTTTCTGAATCAAACTGCAACCCAGCACCTACTGAGATTCATCCGTCATTAGTCTTTTATTCAGAAACCTGCTCTTGGCCTAGTCCCCAGTTCTCAGAGGAGTGATTCAGCCAAATACCAACCCCGCCTCTGTGTCCAGAAGTCTCTTTTCTTCTGCCTGTCCCTACCCTTGTGGCAAGGCAAATGGCCACTTGTTTCTCATTTTAATACAGATTTCCTTCTGTTCAATGAGTTTTCATTTTAGAGGCTGCCACTGCCCATCCCCTCCATCCCTGCTACCCATATCTAAGCAGGGGGAACAGGTGGGACAGCTGACCCTGGTGAATGAAAGGAGAGCATAGTTTTGCTCCCTTCACCCCTTTCTCACAGCCTGCCACTGCTGTCAGTGATCCCTGAGCCCCCGGGGGCTGGGGATTTGGCTGTATTAGTCACATGAAAGAAAAGTGCCTCCATCAGGCTGCTCCTGGGCTTTGCTTCACCTCCAGGCGAGGGGATGGCTTGCCACTGTATTCCTCAAGGCTGGAATCAAGTGACACTCATTTTGGGGTTTTTTATTTGCACAAATTGGCTTCTATGTAAGATGTGCCACAGGCCAGATTAAATAAATAAATAAATAGATGATAGATAGATAGATAGATAGATAGATAGATAGATAGATAGATAAAAAGAACAACTGACAATGATTCCAGTTATGCAGAGAAACATGCAAAGCCAGGCACTTGATAGAAAATAAAATCTTTTTCTGTCAACAGACCTTCAGAGTGGGATTTGGTCTCATTCATGCTGTGGGAAGCTCCACAGCCTGTCATCGCATGGTGGGCTCCATCAGAGCATTGAAGGTCTCTCTCAGTCCTAACTTTATTAACCTGATAGATTAATATCCATCGCGCACAACAAACTCCCAGGCATACTCATGTAAGATGGACTCATGTGAACATACTGGTTACTAAGCTGCATCTTGGGGATATTGTCCTCTTGGAAATAAAAGCCACAAACTCATGGATGTCGTTCAGATGAGCACCAAACCTATTCCACCACAAGAAAACAATGCAGGTACCTAAATAACCTTAACTCTGCTTCATATTGCCAATGTCAAAAAAGCAAGTCTCACAATAGGCTCGATCAACCTTGGTTTTTATGGACACACTGATTGCTTGCCTTAATACCAACAAGTAGGAGCAGTATTTCCACCACTCTCAGCTATCTCTGGTTGCTGGAAGTCACAGAACCCCCACATCAGCTCAACAGCAGCAGTTACACTATAAGCAAACAGTTTTACACTCCATCCAGCAAGAGAAAAGCCTTTTCCTCAAGTATTTCAGGTGCTTGCGCACACAAAAAGTTCTGCTTATGTATTACCATAGCCAGTCCCATAACCATCTTTAAGCAGAAATATAGGTTCCTGAAAGCAGAGAGAAGGATTTAGTCCCACGAGGCTGGGACAATAACAAGCGTATGTGGATGACACACTAAAGTTAAAAAACACTTGACTGTTGGCAAACTATCTTGACCATTGACAACTGCAAGACAAATGTGGTAACTGCACATTGCTTTTTCTCTTTAGTTAAGGTGTCAGTGATGTTTCAGGGTTCAGTTCAGACCCCTGATGGGTTGGTCACACCTATTATTATTACTGCTTTGAATCTTAATTTGCTTTTCGTACTCACAACAACTTATTTCATATTTCCATCCAGTTTTCACCTTATGCTCATAGAGTCTTCATAAACTGCCTGAATCCAACAAGAAACCATTTTCTACCAGGTCTTAAAAACCCCCTTCTATTAAACAACAACAAGATTTATTTCCCCAGCTTTTCAGTGCAACCAGAGATCTGAATAAGTGGTTATTCACAGAGCTCTAATCAAGATATCCTTGTGCCTGCTGCTGCACAGACGCATTGACCCAACCACGAAACAAAAAAATAGAAAGAGAAGGACAAAAGCATGCAAGTGGAATGAAAAAGACTTGATCACAGACTGCTCACTTAAACACATGTGTTAATGTTTTAATTTAGAAGGTGTGCATGGGTTAAAATGCAAACTGAATTTCAATTCAATCCCCAAAAGCAAGACGATGCCCTTGTTTTAGGGAGGGGGGTCATTCAGGCCAGTCAGACGTGTTTCATACAGCATTTTCCAGCGCAGTTGTGCACATACAGGGGGACGGGCCATTAATAAGTGTCAGTGTTCCTGCTCTCAGCCCTTTACCCACCTGTTCCTCTTATAGCCCAGACGTGTCCACCCCTGACCCCAGTGCGGGACCGAAGCACTTGCGAGGCTGTACCACCACCCCTTGCTCCCTTGCTCCCCATGGCAGCTGTGTAAACCTCCAGGGCAACAGCTGGGGACCAGGCATGATGCTGGGTGTAAGTACAGAAAAGGGCATCAGTGAGGGCTCCAAATCACCACCCTGATGGTGGGGACTCTGTTTAAGTTGCACAAAGTTTGGCTCTGCCCCCCTTTGAATCCAGTGCCCATAAATACAGCTCAATTAGCTCTCAGGTGGAGTTCTTGCCATAACGTGGTAATTTGGTAATCAGCTTCCCTTAGGGACCCCAGGCTGGGGTTTGGGTTAGGGATCTGCTCACCGGTGGTGCAGGCAGAAAGGGCTTCCAAGGAACCCCGGCCACTTGTTTGTAGCCGCAAGGATGGAGAGGGGAGAAAAGGATGAGATAAACTCTTCTCCTGAGTGCTGGATGAAGCCCTGAAATTACCTGGAAATTGCAGTAAGGATTTTTCCATCTTATGGCAGTCAGGGGCAGTAAATTCCACATCTTGAGTTCAGGAAGACAAAGATGCACAGGCTGATGCATGCCATGGGTGTGCCTGCTTGTCTGCAGGCTATTTTCCAAAAGCCTGACATGGAATTGGGCCTCGATGAGATCCTCCTTAATCTGCTTAATTGTAGAAACACCAATGGGATAAGATCAAAACACTATCCTAAGGCATCACTTATTCCTATCCTGTCTAATTACATGCCAGTACTCAACAACGCTTCTCCAGAACCCTTTTTCCTGTCTTGAAGGCAGATGGAGCTGTCCCACATGGGAAGATAACCCTGTACAAAGGAAAGGTGGCAGGAATCCACAGTTCCTATTCTAATGCCAATAAATAAAGATACTCACAAGATGTCCAACTAGGCAGGTCAGTGGGACAGTGGTTTTCTGGCTTGGCAATAGCTAGAAAAAGCAGTCCTGCTGCTGCAATGAGTCCATGGCCTTGCATCAAGGCATCTTCCTTGGTGCTCCTGACCTTCATCAGGTAAGAGGAGCAAAGAAATGAAGACCATGGCCTTCCCAGCAGTCTTACGTGACCAACCTTTACTACTGAATGGCCTCTCCCATCTTCCTAGCTTTCAGAAAGTATCTGAAGAGCTAAAGAGGCAGCTCCATAACTGAGACTGAATGTCCTAAAGGTGGATCTACCTGGAGCCCAGGTTCATTTGCCAGCTTTATCCTAGACTTACAGAGGACCCTGGGTAATTCGTTCGAGGTCTTCAGGTCTTCACTTAAGGTCTTCTTATCTATCAGTAAGGAAAACAGCAGGAATAAGATGACATCTCTGATCCTCAGACAATAAGTTTGTGAAGAGAAGGAATGTCTCATTAGCCATTTTCCTCTCAATAGTCCAACACCAAAAGCAGATAACATCCTCACTCTGTTCTACATCATCATCATCATCATTATTATTATTATCTGGTTCCTTCACCCCATCAGTGCTCACAGCTGGACAACACTATACTGTTTGCATAACTCATTGCCATCTTCATATATATGAACCTTGATTTCACAGGAACTATATGGTCCAAAAGGCATCATAATGGGATATCAGCCTGATGAAGCAAGGAATAAGAATTCAGATCCATTAGACTGGGGAAATCCTTAATGCAGGAAACAAGGAGCACTTGATACATGAGTTACTGGAATTTCTGGGAGGAGTTGGGGACTTCTGTAGTCTTTGCTCTGTTCAAACCCACTGAGTGGAGCTCTACTCAGATGCTTTCTAACTAAACATGTTACCAAGCAAAACTCAACAACAGCCAGTTCAGAAAACATCAAGGTTCGGGAGGCTTTGTTAGGAGATTTGTTGAATATTTGGTGAAAACCAGGCTACTTCTTGGCCTTTTTCTTGAGATGATTGTCTTCTCCCACACTTGCTGACAGTAATGGTGCAACGGACTGATGGAGGTGAAGCTCAGGTTGCTGGAATTGAATGATATCTGCAGTCACTGTATCAGGCCAACTCTGAAGAAGTCAGCA